AACTATGAAAGGTTTCTTGATATCACACTACATAAAGAAACAACATAACAACTGGAACAACAGACAAACTTGATAGACACCACGGCCTTTGTAGAAAATACACGTCTTCCATCTTTATGTCATTGTGTGTCTCCAAATCTCAAAATACATGACAGAAATTTAGGTTTGATATCTTTCAAACCCCAAAGGAACATGTATTTTGATATAGCAGGAACTTAAAAATACGAAAGTATTCATTTAAAAAATTAGAATTGTTACAAACACATCACTTTAACAACTCATGCGAAAAACAAACAAATAAAACGATGTATACAAGCTTGAGTTTGCAACATTAATGGCTGCAGCCTATGAATAAGCTGGCTAGTTAGCCAATACCATATGTATAACCACTTTAATCATATTGCATACTTTTTGGTCTCAGTAATAAGTTTATAAGAAAAATTAAATTCTTTCACTTGAATATTAAAAAGAAAGATTTATATATATATATATATGTATTTTATAGTATTGCTGATTGTAATAGAGGGCGCAAAAGATAACAACGTGCTCTACATTGAAGGAATATTTCTATGTAGTGTACCTTTAAAATTAACTGTAATTACGTTAAGCATTCCACGTAACTTTGTTTTTACTCATCAGTTTAACATTTCAGGAGAATTTTTCTATAGTATTTAACTAACTTTATCAAGACTATGCATGAATATTTTATTTTAACACCGATCAATTTTTGACATCCACATTCTTCAAAGTTCAACTTGTAATTTGTTAAGTTGCAGTTGTAAGTTAACTGGTAGTGGTACTGGTATACCAGTGAAGTTCTTCTTTACCTCCATCGTATAACTATAGTTACGTAACTATTTCAGTATTTGTATGTTACTTTATGACAGTAGCACATTATGTATGAGCATAACTGGACCTTCCTGGGTTAACTCGCTTGAATAGTTAGAAAAACAACAACAAAAAACTGGTGCTTGTAAATAAATTCATTCTAAAAGTATATAATTATAAATTCCAAAACTATGATAGTTAATCAGGCTCTAAGATTTTGTTCTTCTGCAAGTTCTGGTATTCGTAGTACCAGAACTGGTATTCTCATGAATAACATGTTTAATTTCCAAGGGGTTGGAAGTTATTTCAAATTTCTAATGGACCAAGGGAATGTTCCTCGACATGTTATGCCATGGGTTAGTTATACATTTTGATTTAGTTGACCAATAATAATGAGACATTACAGTATAGTGATATATTAAGAAATGTTTCTTGCTCCTTAATGTTAGAGATGAACTGTTGTTAGGTAGGGTTTACTTGTTATGTATTCTCGTCATACATAAAAATTATGAATTAAAGGTTCCATGAAAAATGCATCCCCAAAACTTTCTAAAGGCATTTTTCTAAAAAGTCTTAGGTTACTTCCTCCTCTTTCTTTCAAATTTTAATAATCTACAGAATATATATAATTTCCTAACTTGTTTTTTCTTCCATAGAAATGATTAGATATATGATGATGAACTCAATTAAAAGCTTAGAATAGACATACAACTTTAGAGAATTTTAAATTAAAAATAACATAGTAATATTTTATGTATTTTTGCTCAATACTTAAACTTGGTATGTTTTTAAATATGGTTGTTTTTCTTCTTTTCTAAAACTAATATGGACTTAATCGTGAAACATGATGAATAGATAGAAGGAGTCCTTAACATATTTCAAGTTTCTTTTACAGTCTTATTGTGTGTGTGAACCAAAAATGAAATATATCTTGGTAACTGGGGGAGTCATCAGTGGTATTGGTAAAGGAGTGATAGCAAGTAGTATTGGTACACTTTTGAAGTCCTGCGGTCTCCATGTAACAGCCATAAAAATTGACCCATACATCAACATTGATGCTGGAACATTTTCCCCATATGAACATGGTATGTTGAAGTGAAATGTATGAGTTCACAACAAGTTCTAGCTAACCATGCCATTATGATAAGCCAGATATCTTACACCCATTATTTCAGTTAATATAGATTTGATTTGACATGTAGTTCAGGATAGAGCATGTGCTTTCTATTCTTATTTGTTGCAACTAGTTTCTACAAAATTTGTATTGAAATGAGTTTTGAGAATATAGAGATTAATAAAGTTGAAGTGCTGACTTAGTAGATGAGATTCTGGTTAGATTATATGTTTTTGATTCTTATTTATTGTTCGTGATCTTTAAGATCATCAATTTCATTTGATAGTGTAAAGAAAAAATTGAGGTGGATCTGGAGAAAAAATAAGTGTGTGATTTTTGTTAATGTGTTAGAATCTGTTATTAGAGATTACTTGAAAAATCTTGCTAACTGTAAATTCATAATGCACAACCAAGTTTAAGAAAGGGTTTGTCTTACCATCATGCTAATTTTCAGGAGGTTGTCTGACTATCATGCTAATTTTAGGAGGGGTTTGTCTTTCCATCGTACCAGTTTTTCATGAGATTGAACAATTGGCTGAGTTATTGTCTTGAGGCTGGGACACCCTGATGTTGGGGACAACCTTGCTTTTGGTCTAGAGACCTTGAGTTTTAAATGATTTTCAGCATAATACATCCAAACTCATGGGGTAGACTTCAAGGTGATTGATCCAGCAATTAGAGTGGACTCGTCTTTCTTAAGTGATTGGTGCCAGGTGTTTAGTCTGTCTTCAATAAACATTCTTCCAATCAGATTACAATTGTTGATACATTCACATCCGTGAACACATTTGTTTGGTCTTACACAACCGTCTAGTTAGAATCACCTTACATGAGAATCCTCTCACTTCTCACTGATATGCAGATGATGTATAACACAATGTGAGTTGTTCTTGACAGGTGTGTTCGACGTTTGCCTTTCATTAGCGTTTCACAACTAAGATTTCGCAACATGTCCGCAAGTCTATAGCTCAGATCATAAGAAAGCTTAGTCGAAGCATGTGTTTATTTTAAAGTGTCAGTTTAACTCGTGAGAAAGCTTAGTTGATGCATTTGTTTATTTTTAAGTGCTTCATGTGTATGTTGGGGGGAGAGAAAGAGAAAAATCTCGTGTTTAAGTGTGATAATGGGTAACTGGTAACATGGATTTATCTATTACACTTTGAAGATAACATATAACATAATGTTTTGGGACAATAAAGAACATATTGGTCCTTCTTGGCTGTCCTATCCTCTAGACGAAATTAAAACTGTTAATAAATAAATTAAAAAAAACTTAAAGCCAGCCCTTATCATTCATATGGTTATAAAGCTTTCTCTTAAACTCAAATTTACTGCCTCCACAACATCTGAAGGCAATCCATTCCAAAGGCCAACCACTCTGTTAGAAAAATACAACTATCTTAGCTGAAGATGGCTCCTACCCTGCCAAAATTTATGTTTGTGTCCCCTAGTCCTACCATTCACATTATTAAGTATGAAAAAAGATAATGCATCAACACTATCAATTACCTTTACAATCTTAAACACCTCAATCAGACTCCCTTTTACTCTTCTTTTTTCAAGAGAAAACAATTTCAAAGATTTCAGCCTCTCCTCATATGATAACTCTTCCATCTCAGGCATCATTCTAGTAACCCTTTCCAACAATTCAATGTTCTTTTTAAGATAAGGAGTCCAAGACTGAACACAATACTCCAAATGTGGCCTAACCAGTGACCTATACAGTGAAATTATAACATCTTTAGACTTGTATTCAATATTTCAGTACATACAACCTAAAATCATATTTGCCCTACAACTTAGCAACAGCACACTGCTTGGATGGCCTAAGAGACTGATCATTTATTACACCAAGATCCCTTTCTTTCATGATACTGTTAAGGTTATTCCATCCAAATTATATTTATAATTCAAATTATGATAACCCACACTTATTATAATTAAAACCCATTTGCCATTTATTTGCCAAACTCACTAAATGATCTAAATCCTTTTGTAAATCAGCAGCATCCTCTTCACAGCTAGCAACACTCAATACCTTAATATCATCAGTAATTTAAGTAATTTATTGACCATTCCTTCATCTATGTCATTGATGTAAATGAAAAAGAGCAAAGGTCTTAAGACTGAGCCCTGAGATACCCCAATTGTAATATTAATTCAGTTTTTCTGAACTCTATTTGTAACAACCCTCTGCTTTCATCCATCCTGCCACTCTTGTATTTAATTTGCTAACTTATCCCCCATACCTATGGAGCTAAATTTTTTCAAGTCTTTTATGTGGCACCTTGTCAAATGCTTTCTGAAAATCTAGATACACCAAATCTACACCCTTACCCTCATCTACATAAGTAGTAACCTTTTCAAAGAATCTCAAAAGATTTGTAAGGCAAGATTTTCCCTTAGTGAAACCATGTTGACTATCCAATAAAATTCTAAACTTTGTTAAATGACTTTCCAAAACTTTTCCCACAACTGATGTAAGACTAATGGGTCTATAATTACTGGGACAATTTTTATCACCTCCCTTGAACAAAGGAGTGACATTAGCTAACTTCCAATCCTCTGGTTCCTGTACACTATTCAAGACTTAAAATATGGTAGCAAGTGGCTCACATATCTGATCCTTAACCTCCTTTATAACCCTTGGGGAAATAAGAGATTATCAATTTGTTTATATTTTATACTAACTTTGATTAGACCTGGTTTTGAGTACTTTGTTCAATTATGGTCAGCCTTTATAGGAAAGACATCAAAGTTTTGAAATTGTGAGGAAAAAAAGATTTAGCAGGATGATACCTGGTTTGAAAAGTTTAGATTACAAGAAAAGGCTTCACGAGTTGTGTTAACTTGCTTTTAGTTTCAAAAATTCAAAAAATTTTAAAAATTGTTTTAAAGTCTGTTATCACTTATTTTGGGTCTTTTCAACTGTAAAGTAAGTACACGAATTACTTTTTAACACCAGAAATTTACATTTTAGCAAGGATTATTCAAAAAGCATTTTGTTCCACTCAAAATGAGAAATGGGGGGGGGGGGGATTTTCATGAATATCATATGAATTATTAGATTTAAATGATTTAGAATTGGGGCTTCATTTTATGGTGTAATAAAAGCTGAGAATTTTTAACTCTTTCACACATTAGTTTACCCTAATTTCAGATTTATAATGTTTTCTTAAATAATTGTAAATAGTCTGTTATTCTATTAACTAGGTTATAATAGAAAGTTTTGTGAAATCAAAAGGTTCCAATACAGTGATTGTGATTTTTTTGTACAAGAAATTGTAGAAAGTTTTAAATTTTTTTAGGTAGGTGAAATATATTGTTATGACAGCGGAAGTCGTGTGATGCTGGGAGCATACGCGCTGGAGTTTCTGTGTGTTTGCTAGACGCCCTCTTTTTTAGTATATAAGCTTGGCAAAGAAAGCCAGCAATATAGAGATAGATAATTAAAGAAGCGAAGAGTAGTGACGGTAATATAAAGTGTGTGTTTGTACTCATAGAGAGAAAGTTGTCGAGACTGTGGAAATACTGTGTACTAAAAGTTTGTATTGAGAAAGAATAAACTGGTTTAATCAAAACGGGTCTTGTATTGCTGAAGTTCCTTGGAAAGAATTTATACCGGAAATTAACAAACAAGCAGATACGTAACAATATGTATTACATGATTTGTAGAAGTGAATCTGGATCTTGGAAACTATGAACAGTTTCTTAATATTTTAAAATTATGGGTTTTTTTAAATAGGTGAGGAATTTGTATAAGATGATATGTAGAAGTGGACTTGGATCTTGGAAACTATGAATGGTTTTTTGGGATAAACTTTTCTGTATTTTTTTTAAAAGGTAGATATTTCTATTAGATTATGGTGTAGAAGTGGATCTTGTAAACTATGAACGGTTTCTTTATATTAGAAAGTTGTTTTTTCTTTTTAAATAGGTGAGGTATTTGTATTAGACGATGGTGGAGAAGTGGATCTTGGAAACTACGAACGGTTTCTTTATATTAGAAAGTTGTTTTTTCTATTTAAATAGGTGAGGTATTTGTATTAGACGATGGTGGAGAAGTGGATTTGGATCTTGGAAACTATGAAAGGTTTCTTGATATCACACTACATAAAGAAAACAACATAACAACTGGAAAGATATATGAACATGTAATAAAGAAAGAAAGAAGGGGAGATTATCTTGGCAAAACAGTTCAGGTAATTTCCAATTTTTTAGCTATGGTTTCTATTCTATATATAGCTGAGGTTGTGGTTTGGTATCTTTAAGAAATCTATAAGTAAAATAGTATGATTTAATTTTAACTCGTAGTTTTGTATCTGTAAATATCTGCTACTAAGATGCTAGTAATTTTTGTGGGTTTTTTTTACACAAACATTTCCAAAAACTAGATGCACACATTTGATTATATCATTTCTCAATGAAATTGGTACTTTATTTTAGTAGATCCCTTTGTGGATGTTAACACTGAATTTAAACATTTTTTCACAAGTTAATATGGTGTAACATTTAATACGTCTATTTAAATGTTTTTCCTAGTAATATCTTTCTGGAATGCTAATTTATCAATTTTTTTATCAATTACATCATTCCAGTATTCAAACTGGATTGAAAAACTTCTAGGACTGTTGGGTATGTGAATGTATTGAGGAACTTGTACTGGGGATTTTGTGTATATATGAATTGATTGAAGAACTACTGGGATTAATTTGTATATGCTCTGACTCTAACTCTATATGAGGTCAGTTGATTTGACTGACCTCATAACCACCATAAAAATTAGGAAATAATTATAAATTTCCCCCTATTTTCTTTCTGGAATGACTGTAAATTGTAAAAGAAAACACAGTTGTTTATCCTAAGTAATTTAAGCTTGTAACAGTATACATCTATTTATACTTAATTTTATTGTTTTAGTGCTGAACCATGTCTAACTAATATTTACACCATGTAAACTGCAAATCATGTGATGAATGTGCAGCTCACATTATGGTACTGAATTATATGATGCATGGACTACTCATGAGTGTACCTCATAAAAAATTATAATTATTATTTATTTTACTTTATCTAAAAAGTTTCCAATTTTTATATTTTAGTTAGTTTGATAATAATAGATAAAAAATACACATCAAAAACATGAAATAAAGTACTTACCTTGGTCTTTATTTTTGATCTTGACTGTCGATGAAACTTAACTCTAATTTTTTATGCTAATTGTACTACTGTATTAGATAATTTCTATTTAATTAAATAATACAGAATAATAACATACAAAAAGGAAACAATGTTCCATAACTATCATAATTTTTCTGGCTGTGCAACAAAAGCCATTATCAATTTAGCTAAGCTCCTTGGTGTATTTCATGTGGAAATAAACAATAAGTTTGAACTGGATGAAAATAGACAACAGTGTAATATAAGATGTCATTCGATAGAGAAAAACTTAGGCTTTCTAATGGTTATAAGTAATATAGTTTTAAATGTAAGAGAGAACTATTGGCAAATTCTGAAAGAGAAGATGTAACTGGAGGGTGTGGCAAGAGGGATCTGATTTTCTATTTTATTGTTCTGTAACTAAATAAGATTGAAGGCTATGTAAATTATGTTTTGCCTGAATGATGAAAACATTATAATGAGTAATGTACGTTAAATTTCATACTTCTCAAAAGGGTGGTAAAAAAAATTAGAAAAGATGGAAGACATAGATAACATACTTTACAGTTCTCATACTAGGGGAGATTGAGAATTTTTTAAAAATATTTCCTGGTAAAATTAAGACTTAAAACTTAAATCATACTAAACTTTGATTTATTATCTACATTCTAATGCTTAGTTGATTCATATAGATGATAATAAAGTAGTTAATTAAATTTTGAATGTAACTCTGTGAAAGGTTGTGATGTGCACTTTGACCTACCCGAGGTGAAAGAGTTAATTAATCATGTGGTACTTTCACATGACTTTATTTTCATGCAGTTTATTGTCATTCATAAAACCTGTTAGAAGTTGATTGTAAACAGCTGTGTGTAAACTGTATGCTCTTTAGTTTGTAATGATACAAAGTTTTAAGCAAAATACTTATAGTTGCCTTGCATATGGGCATTTTGTGGTGGGTATTCAGTACCCTGGGAGTTTTGGTTAACTAGAACCCTGCTATGTGAACTTGTGGTACTAAAGAATCCCTTCTGACATCAGTAATATCTTCTAGTACCCAAGAACCCCTTGTGACACCCAGTAATGTCTTCTACAAAATTTGATTACTGTACTTGGATGACATAAAAACGTTTCTAAAGACTTTTATAATAATAAAGTGGTAATGTTATTTTCTGTAGTGTAAAGATGTAAAGATGTTTTATTTTAGTTTTAGTGCTGTTTGAGTTTCTGTTCCGTAGCAGGTTGTGCCTCATATTACAGATGCTATCCAATAATGGGTTTAGAGAATTGTACAACCAACAGTTACTCCAGGTGGTCAAATACCAAATGTCTGTGTTACAGAAGTGAGTTAGTGTATACTGAATTTCTGTTCTTTAACAGGTTGTGCCTCACATTACAGATGCAATCCAAGAATGGGTTGAGAGAGTTGCACAAGTAGCAGTTACTCCAGATGATCAAACACCAGAAGTGTGCATTATAGAAGTGAGATTTTATCTTGTGCTCAAATAGTGCTGCATCTTTAAGAAACAGCAGATAAATCCTAGTTTTTATGTATTTTTCTTGTTTTGGTAAATAAAACCTAGATTTATTTTTTGTTTTTTTATTTTCTTAATTTTAACTTAATAAAACTAAAACAACTTATTTAAATCAATTTCTTTTAATCTAAGTGTTAGAAACAGTTTACTAACACTGAAGTTGTATGGCATCTTCCAGTTTTTACAATGCTCATTATGCATCCTTAAAAGTTGAGCATTTCTAGATCACTGTTTTAGTTTCTCATCTCCACCTATGACTGATGCTCATAATCTCTGTCAATCTGAAGGTTATTTTTGCTAAGGGAGTTTTTTTTTTTAACTACACAGTGTTTTGTCTCATGCCTTTTTCAAGGGTTTTTGAAAAGTTTTGTAATGTGTGACATTCAAAAACCCTCAAAAAATACTTGTGCTCACATAGCAGCTTCTCTCATTCAGTGCTGCTCTCTATATGTGCAGATTTTTTGCTTGCTACTAGCCTTGATACTACCAACTACCCCCATGTGTTTAACATGGTACAGCTGCATTGTAGCATGCAAATAAGCATGCGACAACCCTCCACCAATAGGAGTGCAACACAACCTTCTGGCCCAGTTGGTTTTTTCTGTACCGTATAACCCAGTCTTCACTTCTCAGTTTGGTACACTCGAGTGCAGACATTTGATTTCACTCATTTTTACTTAATTTTCTTTTATGTTTAGCCTAATTTGTTTGATAAATGATTAGTTGAATTTTCATTTAGCTTTATTAATTGATAGTTTGTGGATTACATTTGTTTTGTCCACTCCAATTTTTCTTATTTGAATTCACAAACTTATAACATTTGTAACACTTATCACCGTACAAAAACAACTCTCATTTCTGTGGCTTCAGGTCCAATATCTCGAGGGTGGGTGGCCTTTTTTTCCCCGAACTGTTAGTTTACCCTTCCTATACAGATTTCAGGTTCCATGCTGTTTACTTCATAATCCAGTTACATTCTGGGATCTGAATTTTTTTCTGGACTTTCAAACCTTTGAATATTTCATTCAGGCATGGAAATCACAGGCCCAGCTTTCCCATTTATGTCTACTCTTTCCCCAATCCTTTGTTACCTCTTCTCACTATGTCTATCCACCAGACCCCTATGGGGTTTTGGGGGGAAGACTTGTTTCCTCCCCTTTTTCCTCTTCCTTTGACCCTGTATACTTGGCTTTTCTGTTGATGGGATCTTCTTGGTGATGCACACTGTTTTTTTTTTGTTTTTTTTTGGGGTGTCTCCCTCCTCCAATTTTTCCTTGTCTTTTGTTAGGCACCATAAATTGCATCTCTCAGTGTTTGGGGCTCTTCCTACTTTGTTGGAGTCCAAGTTGGCACCTTTTTGTCAATTTCCCTTTCTATATTTTGTCATTCACAATCCTTTTATTCTCCATTACTCTGTCACACTCTCTTCCTTCCTCCCTTTTTACCCAGGGTTTTCTTGGAATACTTGAATGCTTAATGTGTAGATAGGACTCTCCTTTCCCCATCCTCTACTCCTCACAGACCTTTTCCTTACCTTCCCCTCGATATCACATTTTTCTCACTTGCATCTATTGGAAACAGTACATGCTCTTCTCCATTGGGATGCTATCTTCCTTGTCTTTTAATCTTATCCACAGTTCTATTCCCTGTTGTTTGTTATTCATTCTGCTAATGTGCTGGTTTCCTGTAATTATTCTCCAGCCTTGCCCATGTCATCAATCTTCCTTGGTCCTCTTTGGAGTTTTCCTCACCCTTCTGAGTGTTTAGATGACCAAGGTGGATGTCTTGGATGTTTCACTTCACATCCCTAATTTCGTCCACATCCCAAAATTACCTTCATTCTAGTTCTTTGGGGGAAGGGAGAGACTGGTCTTTTATTCCTGAACTTTACCATTGGATCTGGTCATGACTCCCTATCTTTCAGTAGTGTGCTTAAGGCCTTGGTCATCTTCTATATCCATACGGTTTCTTAATAGCATGGACAACTTTCTGACTTTGTCTCTGTCGATACAGGCTTCTTGCACTCGCACACTTTACTTTTGGAAGCCTACACATGTAGCTTGATTTGTCGAGTTGGAGATGTTCTTCCTTATCCTGACCCAAGACCTCATATTTCTTGGAGTTTTCTTCAACACCTACCTCAATCAGACCCAGCTTTTTCTACTTCTGTTCTGATCGATAAAGCTAATGGTTTTCCATGCTGAATGCTCTCCTTCATTCATTGATAATGGAGTTCTCTCACTATTGAGGGCTTTGACTTCCATGAAAGCTCTTTTTCCCCTTGGGCTGTGCTCACTTGCATAACCTTCAGTGGCTATTGGAAGATCAATAGAATCTCATTCAGGATCCCTTGGATTCCAATTTTATCCTCCCTCCATCTCTTCAGGTTGATTTTGCCTGGTAGCCCTACAGGGATTTCACTATGGCTGGTGTTCCTTTTTCACCTTCCTGTCCCACGTTGTAACTTTTACTGGATACATCTCTCATTGGTTGGAGGCATATGTAAACTCTCATGAGGTCACTGGTCTTTGATTGAGTTGGAATTAAACATCACTCTTTTGGAACTACATGCAGTTCATTGGATGTTGGATCATTTCCTCCAATTGGTATGGGGCAGGTTGGTTTTTTATCCATTCTCAAACTTCAACTTTTGTCTCCCATCTATTGACTAAGAGGTACCCATTATCATTCACTTTGTTTTCAAACATTGATTTTTTTCTTCTGGGACCACTTATTGCACATTTGCCTGTTGGTGTGTCATGTCCTGGGTGCTTTCATTCTTGCTGGAGATTGGTTATCTCATTCAATAAAATTCTCCCCATGAATTAATACCCAAGTCTTCTGGTTGTTATGCTCCCAGTGGGTTTCTCCTCTAGTAGTTAAGTTTGCCATTGTCTTTACAGCCTTTACTGTTCTAATCCCCAGTTCCTTTAGCCATTGGCTCTGGTAGTGAATACTTTCGGTCTGGATTGGGTTAATGATTACCAGTATTCTTACTTTCCTATCCATCTCCTTCCCAGGATTTTGTCGGTCATCCAAGCCATTATGTGTTGAGTCATTATCATTGCCCCATTATGGTCTGAACAACTGTTTTTTCTTGTTCTTCCTATAAATGGACCCTTCTTCTCTGGTGTTGAATGATAGTGTTTTATCCTGCTTTACCCACACCCTGGTGTCACATGTGGCTTTTGTCTGGTCCCTTGTAGGACGGCCTGGACTCTCTGCACATGTGGCATTCATTAACTCCCATTCAGTTTGCCCTTCTTCCTTGGAGGTCTATAAGAGAATATAGCATTTTCTGTCAATGGTCTCTGCACTATGTTTACTTGCCTTCAAGTCCTTGTATTTCTCACCATTCTATATTTTCCTTGGGCTGTTTCACAATGATCAGTTTGTGTCTATCATTACCAACTAGGGCAGCCTTATCCTCTACCTTCTTTTTTCCCATTCCCACCATGTTTTTTTCCTTTTATGTCATATTCCTCATCTTTTGTCCTTTTCATTTATTCCTTGCCCTCTGTTCTTTCAGGAATGGAATTTCAGTGTCATTTTCTATGCCCTTAACTTTTTCAACCCAGACTTGGTCCCTGGGACGAACCTCATAACCATTTTGTGCTTGCTATAGTTTTCATGCTATAACTTTTAAATTAGTAGGCTATTGTCAATGAAATTTGGCAGTTTATCAGTAAACATTACAATGCTTTCATACGCAAAGTATCTAATTTTTTTTTTAAGTCTTAAGGTTTGTAAAGCAGTGTTTTTCTCATGCTTTTTTTTTTCTTTTCACATCTTCCCTATCTATCACGTAAAGTAATTTTAATTTCAAGATTAAAAATACTTTTATGTATCAGAAAATTTGAAATTTTGCATGCAAAA